ATCACACCTGCCTGGCTGGTCTCCACAGACTAGCAAAGGAGGAGGTGAGCCGGCAGGAGCTGAGGCAGCGAGTCCGGATGGCAGACAATGAGGTCATGGATGCCTTCCGCAAGATCATGGCTGCCCGGCAAAAGAAGCGGACCCCCACCAAGAAAGAAAAGGACCAGGCCTGGAAGACTCTGTCTTGTATCTGGGCCTGGGAGGGTGAGATGCCTGTTAGATGTTGAGAGGGAAGGGGAGTAGAAAGTCCGGAGCTTGGGAAGGTGTCAGGCTTAGCGATAAAAATGTGGGTGATCAGAGCGCGGATGGCATTTAAAGCCAGTGACAGGGTGACAGGTACAATGCTCCGACTTTGACACCAATTCCGAAGTGTGGCATCTTCCCGCACCGAGCAGTTCTCCAACACCAGCCGGGTGCCTCACAATTCAACGCAGTGCTGACACTGCCTACCCCATGGGTCCAGGCCCAGGCAGTCTGCTCTGTCCTCACCTCCCTCTCGGCCCCACAGTCACGGCCAAGTGGTGGGGTGCCAAGCGCATCGACTACGCCCTGTACTGCCCCGAGGTCCTCACTGCCTTCCCCACTGTGGCGCTGCCCCACCTCTTCCACGCCAGCTACTGGGAGTCCACGGACGTGGTGGCCTTCATCCTGAGACAGGTACTCCGCCCTCAGGGCCCACTGCAGGCTCCTGCCCTTCTGTGTCTGGAGAAGAGCTGGGCGCCAGCCGCCGGCCGCTGGGAAGTCCTTGCAGTACTCAGCCAGGTGGGAGGGCGACAGTTCAGACAACGGCTTCATAAGGAGCCTGGTGCTTTCTAGAAAGTTAGATAGAAACTACATGGCCCTGATGCCAACATTCAGTTTCTCTGTGGGTCTCCGTGCCCAGGTCCGTAGGTGGCACAGGCCAGTGAGTGGGGAGAGCCTGGGGAGGAGGTGCAGAGGTAGGGGCAGGCCCCGGTCACACACAGCCTAGATGGCCAAGGTCAGGAGTTGGATGCTATGCAGGGTCCAATCAGGAGCCATGGCAGAGTTTTGAACAAGGGAGAGATACCAACTGACTTGTGTCTTTAGAAGGAAGGCTGCTGTTTGTGGGGAGAAAGCGTGAGGCAAACAGGAGACCAGCCTCACGAGGGCAGCTGGGGCTGAGGTGCTGGTGGTGGAGGCGCTGAGGGTTTGAGCTGGGGTGTCGGGACCTGCTGACGTCTGAGCTGTAAGGGAGAGGGGAGCCTACGGGTCCTGTTCCACTTGAACATTTACAGGAGGGCCATTCCTTACGATGCCTCACAATTCAACGCAGTGCTGACACTGCCTACCTGGAAATAGCTCAGATCCCACAGGGTAACGGAGCAGCCCCACAAGGCTGACCCCGCCCGCCTCAGACGCCAGTCGCAAGTCCAGGTGCCGCCTGGGCCTCTGATGGACTGGTCAGAGGTTCCCATTTCCCTTCCTGGGGTCTGATTACTGTCATTTGCTGGCGCGGCTCACAGAACTCAGAGGCATTTTCCTTACTAGATAACAGTTTATTATAAAAGGATATAACTCAGGGACAGGCAGATGGAAGAGACGCATAAGACAAGGTGTGGGGAAGGGGTGGGGGAGCTTCCCTGCCTCCCCTGGGATGCTGCTCTTCCCAAACCTCCACGTGCTCACCCAGCTGGAAGCTCTGCGAACCCTATTTTTGGAGGTCGTTATGGAGGCTTTACTACTAGGCTCGATGGAGTAAATCGTTGGCCACTGGCCAACCTCCAGCCCCTCTCTCCTCTCTGGAGGTTAGGGGTTGGGACTGAAAATTTAAACCATCTATTCACAAGGTTGGTTTCCCTAGCAACCAGCCCTCCCTCCCCCTGCCAAGTCACCTCACTAACATAAAAGACACCTTTGTTGCTCTCATCACTTGGGAAATGATAAGGATTTTAGAAGCTCTGTGCCATAAATGGGGATGAAAAACATATATTTCTTATGATAAATCACAACACCACAGATACTGAGGGAGTTTCCATAGAGAGAGAAGTTCAAGGCTGAGTCCTGCAGCTCCAAGAGAGAGAGGAGGAGGAATCACTGAAGAGCAAGAGAGGATGGGTGAGAGAGGAACTTTGAGTGGGGCAGAATGGAAGTCATGGGTGGGGCTTTGTCGAGAATGGCTTCAGTGGAGCAGTGGGGACAGAAGCCTGATTGAGGTGGGCAGAGGGAGGAGGCAGGGAGGGAGGGGAGACAGAGCACAGGGTAAGGGAGAGCAGAAATGTGATGATCATTGGGGAGACACCAGGGTCCTAGAGAGAGTGTTTTTTCTTTCTTTAAGGTGAGTGCGATTATAGCATATTTGTGTGCAAAGGAGAGTGGTTCAGTGGAGAGGGACTGATCAGTCCCTTAGGACTGAGAGGGAATGCTGCCAGAGCAATGGCCTTGAGTGGCAGGAGGGGCTGGGATCAAGGCTTCAGCGACCTTAGATGAGGATCCCCTACCTAACAGGAGGGAAGGCAGAGAATAGGTTCAGACACAGATAGCTGTGCAGTCTGGGTGTGGAGTATAGAAGCTGCTCCCAGGCCAGAGAGCATTTGTGGGCCTGTGCTCTGGCCCCAGCAGTCAGGACAGGAGGGCAGGGACATGGGTCCTGGCGTCTCCAGCCTCCTGAGGGTTCCAAGCTGGGAGGTGAGGAGGCTTGGGGTGGGCCTTCTGGCTGCAAGCTGATGGGCCCTGACACCCTGGAAGGGAGGAGGAGGGGTTGAGATGGCCTGACCTGGAGCCCTGCTTGGCGTCTATCAGGTGATGCGCTATGAGAGTGTGACCATCAAGGAGAGTGACGGCTTGGATCCTGCCACCCTGAGCCCCGCTAACCCCCGAGAGAAGTGGCTTCGTAAGAGGACCCAGGTCAAGCTGCGGGTATGTGCTGGTGGGAGTCACGCACTGTTTGGGAGGTGACCTCAGAGAAGTGGGGTTGCCCTGGGGGCTGGGGCATTCACATGGCAGGTAAGGCCTTTGATTTGCCCCTCAGACCTGAGCGCTCACACATGCTGGGCTTCATGCTTAGATGAGCCCAGGGTGCTGCAGTGGGGGTGGGGTGGGGTTTGGGGGTGTGTGTAAGATGGGAGAGTTGGTTCCAGGTGACCTGAATCCAGAGGAACCCGAAGAATGGGGGTCCAGGGCACTGGGGATGGTGAGATGCCAATTATGGAGCAACTGCTCTATGCAGGGCCTCTGAGATGTAGATGTGAATTGGAAAGAGTCCTGTCCAGGATTACAGGGCTCACAGTCTGACTCACCGAGTATGGTCTGGAGAGAGATTTGCCATGACAGAGGGAGGCAACGCATAGGAAGGAGAAAGAAAGAATTGCAGGGCAGGACATGCATGGTATTGAAATATAAATAGGAGTTTGCTATACACATTGATTTATTCACTCAGTAAACAATCAGTGCTCACTGTGTCCCTGGTCCTCTTCTAGGGAGTGAGTGGGGAATAGGGGTTTACGGACACAGCCACTGCTATGGGGGACACTTCCAGTCTGGTGGGGAGATCCAGACAGAGACCCCCCAAGGAGTCCTAAAAGGTAGAAGGTGCTCAGTGCTCCATGAATGGACTCTTCTGTGTTTTGACATATTTATTGAGCTATAACTCAGGTATTATTCACCCACTTAAAATTCAATAGGTTTAGTATGTTCACAGATGTATGCAACCTGGCATTTCATTATTTCAAAAAAGCACCCTTTCGCCATCATCCCTCAGCCCTAAGCAATCAGCGATCTACTTTCTGTCTCTACAGATTTGCCTATTCTGGACATTTCACATAAACAGAATAACACCACATGTTGTCTTTTGTGTCTGGTTTCTCTCACCTGGCATCATGTTTTCAAGGTTCACCCATGTGATCGCATGTATCAGTGCTTCATTCCTTTTTATGGCTGAATAATATTCCATTGTATGGATGTACCGCATTTTTGTTTACCCATGAATCAGTTTTTACCCTTTGTCCACAATGAATAATGTTGCTCTAACTATTCGTGTGCAGGCTTTTATGTGAACAGATGTTTTCATTTCTCCTGGGCATATACCTAGGAGTGGAATTGCTGGATCAAAGGGTAACTCTAGTTTAATAATTCGAGGAACTGCAAAATTTGTCTAAAGCAGCACCATCACTTTCCATACGCCCCAGCCGTGTACGAGGGTTCTGAGTCCTCCACATCCTCACCAACACGTGTTATTATCTGTCTCTTGGATTCCAGTCATCCTAGTGGGTGTGAAATGGTATCTCATTGTAGTTTGATTTGCATTTCCTTGATGACTAACTAGTAAGGTCGATCATATTTCCATGTGTTTGTTTCCATGAACCAACTCTTCCCCCCCCCTACCCTTCCCGTGTTCCCGTGAGGGGGCCTAGGTCCCGACCTTGATGGGGTGTCCCCAGGGCAGGGTTAGTGACTGGTTCCTGTTTGTGTCCTCCAAGCCCAGCCGAGGGACCTATGCAAATGAGGTGGCTGCAAATGTTTGTTGAACTGAATTAAAATTCCCTGGGGACTGAGAGGAGGTAGAGGCCCTTTGGAGGCGTCCAAGCAGTGTTTCTGGGAGGGGACAACATTGAGTCAGGTCATAGTAGATGTGCTGGAATAGGGGGGCAGGAGGCCAGTGATGGCATGTAGGGTGGGGGGCCCAGTGTGAGCCAAGGCCTAGAGGCCACTGCAGAGCCCAGCCCGAAAGGACCAGAGGGGCTTGGAAGGGGAGCAGGAAAGAGGGCGGAAAGGCTGCCCGGGCTTAAATGCTGAGCTCAGGGTTTGGACTTCATTCGGGTGTTCCTGGGGTTAACAGATTGGTGCTTTATAAAGCTGGTGTACCTGCCGGGGGTCTGTTTTTGAATATGGAGCTTCATTAAGAAGCCATTAGCAGAGCCCAGGCGAGAGAGAACACGGTGTGGGGTAGAGGTGCCATGTGGGCAGTTCTGTAGGGGAAGGGCCACCAGATTGAGTGGCTGCGGTGTTGAAGCCAGGCCGGGAGTGGGGGTGCTGGCCAGTGGAGGCCTCTGAGCTGCAGAATGAACTGACACTGGAAGGGAAGAAGGGTGGGATGTTGGGATGGCTGCAGATAGAATGATGCGATGTCCGGATGGCTCCGGAGCCTCTGGGGTGGGGTGGGGT